ATTAACTATCAGTATATTTACATGTATGCTCAAGTTCTTAAAACAGTACAGTAGTTTCATTTAACTCAGCTCCTCGCTATTGTTTTATATATGAGTTAATTCCAGCAATGGTCTTCCGACTATATTGATTTTCTAAAATTAGTCATCGATTTTTAATTTGGACACTTTACGTCCCTTGACTTTTAATTTTTTCTAATTGATGTCCTTTCGTCAAATTACGGTAAGTTAGATTTTAAATGAAAGGGTAAAGTAGTTATTTCATCTGCTTATTGTATAATTCTTCGTATTTCTCCCTTGTATGCGCGATTTCGGACATCAAATTCACTTAATTGCTTAATCCCTAAATCCACTAGAAGAACAAAATTCTATTAGGAATTAAGCAATTAAGTGAATCTGATATCCGAAGTCGCGTATACAAGGAAAACATACGAAGAATTATACATTAGGCAGATGAAATGACTACTTTACCCTTTCATTTAAAGTCTACTTTACCGTAATTTGACGAAAGTACCTCAATTGGAAAGAAATTGAAAGTCAAGGGACGTAAAGTGTCCAAATTAAAAGTCGGGAACTAATTTTAGAAAATCAATATAGTCGGAGGACCATTGTTGGAATTAACTCTTTTATAAATTCACGATATGATGATCGCCTACTCAATCAGACTGATAGTTATACCTTGTGTGTTGATAGTTTTAGGGAAGAAAACAAGAGTTTTTTTCCCAAAATAGTCCATCCACTATTGTTCATTCTCAATTTTGCATTTCGACTTGTAATTGCACCAAATATATATGGTCATCGAGTTTCAAAAACTCACCCAATTCAATTTTCCATTGAGTACTCCGTCTATTCAGCGTTACAATAGAGGGCATTTTCATTTGTGTACCTATTGTGCAGTTAATATACACTAAGAAATAGTCGAGGAACCATTTTGGAAATAATGGATGGACCATTTTTGGGAAATACTCTTTTATATATTTCATTTTTGTTTATTTTCAATTTTAAGACTATCAAATTAGAATTTCTGCAGATTTTTTTCTCACAAATATAAATAGTTAAAACCCGCAATTCAAAATTTTCAACTTGTATGTTTAGACAGAGGTAAAAAGTATGTAGAGAAAGTTAATAATTTAGAGGTTGGAATGCGAGATTTTAACAATTTATATTTGTTAGAAAAACAAATCTACATAAATTCTAATTTGATAGATTTAAAAAAAAATGAATATAAACAAAAATGAAATAAATAAAAAAAAAAGTTTTTTTTTTTCAAAATAGTCCCTCGACTATTTCTCAGTGTATATTAGGTGCAAAATAGGTAAATGGATAAAAATGGCCTCTATTTTAATGATGAGTAGACAAAATACATAACGGATGACTAAATTGTGTGAGTTTTTAAAAGTCGAGGGACCAAATTTGATGCAATTGAAAGTTGATATGCAAAATTGAGAATAATCAATAGTCGAGGGACCATTTTGAAAAAAAAAAAAAAACTCAGAAAACAATTACTGCACTCTACGAGATTATTATTCCTTGCACTTAAAAATTTTAGTTATTTGCAAAAATACCATCATGGTTTTTCATCTCTGGCAACTTTAAAATCGTAAAAATCTTTCTAGATTGACAACTCTGATTAATTTCTAATTCTCTCATTCACGCTTATTCTTGTTTGATGTGACACACCACACACACACACACACATATATATGAGAGTTCAGATAAGAACACCTCCACTGTAAAAAGTGTAGACACATACATACTGGGGGTGTTTGGTAAATAGATGTTAGCTGATTGGGTTAGTGCGTTTAATTAATTGATATAATTAGCTGATTGTAAAAATATGTTTGGTAAATTAGTTGTTAGCTGATAACTGATTACATAAAAATGACTTTATCAAAAAGTTGATCGAAAAAGTTGCTTTGAGCAGCTTTTCGAATTTTAGTGTTTTGGAGCAATAAGTTGTTACAAAAAGTTAATTAATCAAACACTCGTATTGGTTGTTTAACCGAGTCAAACGGCTAATAGTGGTCAAACAAACTAAAATTGACTGATAGACTAAATATTTTACCAAACATAGCCACCCTCTAAGTCTCTAACTCAAGAAATCAAATGTTAAGAAATCTTACTATTACTAAACTTTCAAATTTACAATAATTATAAAATGAATCACGCTCTTAAAAGTTTTCAATAATTATAAAATTGATACCTTATTTTGTTTACTAAAACCCTCAACCACTAATGAATTATAATGGACAATTTATATCAATCGTCACTTTTTACAGAAGCACCTTATTCTTATTTAATCATGACAGTATATATATACCCATTTTGGTTTTGCTGCGCTGCCCCTATTACTAAGAGTGTTCATAGTGACAAACCATCTATTAATAAGCAGAATAAAGTTAATTTTAGAATTGGTAACATGACTATTGACATGTACAAAAAAAAATTTATTCATGATTTTCAATTGAACCATATATAGTCCATTGATTATTGATATTTATCAATTTTTATCCTCAACTTTCAATTTGATCATAAATGCTTCGTTGAGTATTGATTTTGTTCCAAATTTTAATTTGGCACTCAAGTTAAATATCTATTTAGTAAACATTATGAAATTGCACCGTGACACTTGAAAACCAAAAGCAATGTATTTTTACTTGTTATTTAAGTTATGCACCAGTTACGTTCATTAATTAAACTCGTTTAAGCAAGTGTAAATAATAACTGCAGAAAGCATAAAATAATGTAAAAACACAAAGAAATTGTTACGCAGTTCGGAGCTCCTTCTCCTACGTCTGCGGGGCAACCCACGTCTGCTCAATCCACTATAGATGTTCACTAAAAGGAGTATTACAAGAGGTAAATATAGATGACCTCCAGCCATTACCACTACCACTCTTTCTAACACCTATCCAAGACTGACACACGAAAACCCGAACAATCTTCACAAGATACTTCAGCAGTACCACGTACTAATCATGTAGTACAGATTAAATATTCTTAAGAATTAAACATAGAACATATTAAAATAGGAAGCTTTGTAATTCAGATGTGTGCTCAGTATATTAATCTCAAAAATCAGCAATGTCTTCTTTCGAACAGCATCCTTTTATAGCAGATATTGAGCTTCATTTGTGATCCTTAAATGTAGCCTTTTTCCTTGTTCGAATAAACCTCAGTCACATTCTTTTTATTTCTTTGAAAGCTTCATACGTAGACTTCATTCTCCAAGACATACCATCCACACATTTAGATATCACATGGTCCAAAATAGAATTAATTCTAACAACTCTAATTAATTTCTTAATTAAAAACTAATAAAACTACTACTAAATAAAATAGCCAATAAGTGTAATGTGTAAATAATTTTACACTTACACATTAAATAAAGGGTAATAATGTAAAAATTGGTTACTTGTTGAGATGAGCAAGTTGAGTTCATAAACTTAATACATTGGATTCATTATTGATGAAAATGTGAATGAATTATTATTATTATTATTTACATTACTACCTTTAAATTTAATATTTTAAATGAATATTTAGATGGATGATCAAACTTGAAAAAAAAAAAAAAAAAACAGTCAAAAGGGACCATTTATGGTCAAACTAAAAGTTGATAATAAAAATTAGTAGATGTCAATAGTCAATAGTCTATTTATGGTTAAATTAAAAATCAGGAATAAAAATGGATAAACGTCAATAGTAAATAAATCATTCATGGAATTAATTATAAAGTAGAATGACTTAGAGAAAATTTGTTTTGTATTTATTTGTTAGGTCCAATTCAATTTTTTAATTATATTATTTACTATATCTTTAGTTTTTTTTTTTATATTAATCTAAAAAAATGATAAGAAAATAATTCTAAAAAATAATAAGATAATATAATCCACATCCAATTTTTAAACATTTGGATTTTATTTAAATTATGAGATAATATTATATGTATCTATTTTTTAAAAATAAATTATATTTTATGTATATTAGATTTTTGTTAATAAAATATATTTTTTTAATATTATTAGTTTGTTTCAATTCTTAATTAATTTATATTTTCATATTCTAATTATGAGAAATAACAAATATTATTATTTTTTTGAAATAATCTTTATAAGAGATAGTATCTCATGTTGTATACAAATTAATTTACTAATAGAGATTACTAGCAATGTATACAAATCATGCCATTAGCATGTTACATAATATTTGTGAATTTAAAAAATATTTTTCATGAGTTATATGACAAGGACTACACTACTTACATTTTCATAATTCAATCAATCATTTTTTTTCTCCCCATATTATATTCCTACACTTTTCTTTCACTTGTTTCTTAACTTATTTTGTTTTAATTTCTTTTCAAAGGTGTAAAATAAAATAAAATAATCTCAACTTATAAAGTATGAGAAGAGAAGTAAAAAAAAATTATATTAATATGTTTTGAATTATTATTGATTTATTAATTTATATATTAGTCTAATTATAAAATTAAAAAGAAAAAATTTAAAACAAAATTAAAATATGGATATCTCATATATCACTCATTTTACTTTCAATGAAGCAATGTCTCCTTTATAAAATGGGAGATTCATCCTCATATTTGTATAGTGTCAAACATGCACTACACATTACTTTCTAAATCGAAAAGAGATTTAGTCTCACATTTTGTGAGAGTAGTTGATCAAGTTAATTATTCTTGGGTACTTTTTATTTAATAATTTAGTAATATTTATAAAAGTGGGGTTTTGAATTATTATTTTGTTAATTTTTACAAAGCACCAAGTAAAAAAATTGTTACTCTAACTCAACAAGGTTTGAACCCATCACCTCCCACTTAGGGGAGCAATCCAATACCAATGAACTATAAGCCACTTGATAATAGTGGCCCTACGCATCCCATGAGCCCGCTTCGAATTGCATAATTCTAGTTCACGAGCTTCGCGATCTGACCCACGAATAAAAAAATCTGCGGTGAAACGGGCTGATCCACATTTACACCCCTAATCAATTATGAAGGCAAAGCAGGAATGTGAATTAGTAACACTTATTGGGAAGGGGGAACGCTTGTGTTTAGCCAAATGACATACATCACAAGCCTCATTATTATTATACTTAGCAACATCAATATCACCAATGAGATGTAGTTTGTTGATTGGGAAGTGCCCCAGCCTTCGATGCCAGACCTCAGATTTACTGCATTGCAGAACAAACTGTCCATTCTGCATTTCCTGTGATTCCTCCATTAGATAGAGTCCCTTTTCTTCCCTAGCTAAACCAACTATCTGACCATGACTCCCTTGAATCATGCACTGTTTTGACATGAAGGTTAGCTTATAAGCATCATCTTGAATTAACTTGCTCACAGATATAATATTAAATTTGAAAGAAGGGATATATAGTGCCTCTTTCAGCCATAGATTTCCATTGAGCAGCCTGGCATCACCTACATATTTAACTGTGATGCATTGCCCCGTAGGGAGATTCACTTTAACATTGTTAACTGTGTGATGATTGATCAAGGAATCAAGGGAACACACAATATGATTTGTGGCCCCTGAATCGAGAATCCAAGTGCAAGAGTTTAAAGATGACGAACATACAGAAAACTTGCCTTCTTCAGGATTGTGAGATTTTTCAAACTTTGGAGTCAAGGCAGTTGCAGCTGTGATATGTGAGCCAGAGGGACTGTTCGAATTGGAGGATCCAGATGCTTGGCTTGGCTGTGTCTGAAGGAATGTCATCAATTTGTGCAACTGCTCAGAGTTTATTCCCAGATCGCTAGGACTGGTGAAGGATGCAGCTGTTCCCTGTTGCTTCCCTTTTGACTTAAAACCTTGCACCCAACCGGGTGGATACCCGTGTTTCTTGTAGCATCTATCAACTGTGTGTCCATTCATGCCACAATAGGTACATTTAGCCTTCACAGTGTTATTTTTCCTGCCATTATAAGCATTCGAAGCAGCAACAGTATCTTCATTCATGCATGTTTGAACCGCATTAGACTGTTTTATATCCAGGTTTCCTAAATTCAAATGAGATGCCATAATCTGCCTCTCTAACTTTTCAGACATAACAAACACCTTATAGACTTCTGGCAGGGGATCTAACACAAGAACACTTGATTTCAAGTTATTATAGTCCTCATTCAAGCCTTGCAGAAATAGGATTACCTGATCAGTCTCTTTTTCCTTCCGAATTGTTTCAACCAAATCGCAGGAGCATCTGGGAGTGCACTTACATAGAGGAATCGGCCTTAAGGTGTTCATCTCTTCCCATAGGGTCCTGCATTTTGTGTAGTACTCATTAATGGAGAGAGATCCTTGCCGTAGACTATGAATCTCACTCTGTAGGATAGATATGCGTTGTGCGTCCCTTTGCGAGAACCTTCTTCTCAGATCCTCCCAGACGTCCTCAGCGCTGTCGAGATGCATAATGCTTTGCGCTATGGACGAGTGAACAGGCTTGAAGATCCAAGCGCAGATCATGAGGTTGCACCGTCTCCACGCGGCGTACTGAGCTTGCTCCCTGTTCGGCGGCGTGATACTCCCGTCCACCAAGGTCCATTTATTCTTAACTTCGAGAGCTATCCGCATCGATATGCTCCATGTGCCGTAATTCGAGCTGCCTGACAAAGGTGGACTCACAAGGACAAGGGATGGACTGTCGTTTGCACTGAGAAATAGAGGATTCTCAAGATCCTCTGTGTTAAAGTTTCTTCGAGCTCGAGATGATGGACTGTCGGTTAATTATTAAGCAATGTTTGTCGATTGCTAATGATATGGGGACTGTTAGAGTGGTCCATATCAAGAGAACAGTGAATCGTGTGGCTCATGAGCTTGCTCGGGCAACCGTTTCTGAATCTGTCTCGGGAGTGTGGGAGTCTATCCCGCCGGCTTGTATCCTTCATTTATTCAGTCATTAATGAAGTTTTCTGCTTTTGTTTCAAAAAAAAAAAAAAAAAAAAAAAAAGTAATCGTGGTACAATGCGGCAAACTATTCCTACTAAATCTGATAACAATTGTACAATGTCTACCATAAAACTATGGCAGTTTTACGTCTTTATCCCATACACGTTATTATATGCATGGCTTCTACGGTGTTAGGACACAATAGACATTATTTCCTATATTACTCTCTCCCTTCTACTCTTGATGTGACAAGCATAAACTATTTTTTATGTGAATTTAAAGTAAAAATGTCTACATCCAATTTTAGAACAATATTATATAAAATATTACTTATTTCTTAAAAACATAGAATAATACTATATATACTCTAACTTTTATTCTATTTTATATCTCTGTCACACTTTGATTCATTCAAAAAAAAAATGTTACTATATCTTTTATTACTTTCTTTTCTTCTCCCTTTAATAAAATCTTGCTCCAAAAATTGAATTTCTCATCCTAAGGGCCCCACACCTTGGCCCGCATTTAAGATAATATAAATTACTGTAAGTCGGTAACCAAGTGACTAACAAACATGCTCAAATGCCGGTGCTCACAAGGGATCTGTCACACTATTACTAGTGAGTTCAAACATTAGTCTTTTGTCCTAAATACTGTCTACGGAATCAGTAAACTAAACTGGTACGGATTCTTTTCTAATAAAATCAAGACTGTGCTAGGAGTTTTACTGGCTTATTCATCAATTCACAAAATTTTAAGTTTAGGAATAGAGAATGAAGGTATACATAATATTTCCCTATAACAAATATAATAGTATGTACCAGATGGAAACCAAACGTTTATACCCTGTAATGGAGTTAGTTGTGCATGAATGTGGGGAGCGACGACAAAACAATGACGGCCTGCAGAGTGCAGAGAGAGATCAGAGAGAATGAAAGTGGAGAGAGAGACTCTTCTGTTCTCTCTCTCTCTCTCTCTCACTACTGCTACTACAAACTACTTTGCAGTCTGCAACTTAAAATGCTACTTTGCACCCATTATACATATCGGAATATTCTGGCAACTTAATCATTACACACACACACATACATATATAATCATCGCACACTTAATTTAATACTATATTCATTAACCGCTAATTTAACTTACACTTTGGTAAATCCATATCAGAATTGAAGCACTGATTTGCACTTGTAAATAAGATTAAAGCTGCTGCATGCTAATGACTAACAGAAATGAAATAAAGTTCCTAACTTTGATCATATAATATAATCCCTTTTCATCATCTACGTAGTATACCTAATGATCAGATTATATTCCATGCATGAATGATCATTCAGAGATGAAGGGATAGATCAATACTGTCGTTGTCATCCATGTTGTGCGGAACAGATCCATTGGCGGCCATGGCGGAACTGCTGGGACCCAGAACAAGGCCTTCGAGATCGCAAGGTGGAGGAGGAGGAACGGCGGCGGCGGCGGCGGCAAAATAGTGGTCGCCCAGGGAGTGGAAGGCGGTGGCGGTGGCGGTGGGATGGAGGAGAAGCGGTGTTTGGAGCCAGTAATAGCTGCTGGCGGCCGGGTTGGAGTAACTAGGAACCGATGGCGGCGCAGTTGGGGGGACGACGAGACAAGAGGAGGAGGAGGAGGCGGCGGCGGCGGCGGCCGGGTACAAGCTACGACGGGTGGCAGCTCTTTCCCGCTTGTGGGCGTTCTGGTGGCCGCCGAGAGCCTGGGAAGTGTAGAACTTGCGGGAGCAGTAGAGGCAAGGGAACGTTCTAGAAGAAGAAGAAGACGACGACGGTCGTCGAGGAGGCGTCGTCTCCTTCATAAACGGATTGGGCTGTGTAGTGTCGCCGCCGTCCGCGGCGTCTTCCGGCAGATCGGCGCCAAAATGGTGATGGACTCCGCCGCGTAGCGCCGCCGCAGCCGGAAGAGGAGGCGGAGGCGAGTGATGACGATGATCATTGATGGAGATCGAAGGCGGGGAAGATTGGATGCTCCAGAAGTCATAAAGCATCCCAAGATTGTTTGGGTCTTGATCCGCCATTGTTGTAATAAGCTAAGTTTATATAAATGTATTGAGTTAGAAAGCAAGAGAAAAAGACATTGAAGAGAGATTTGGTAGCTAGAGGAGAGTGGATCGGAGTTATATATGGATAATGAAACAGAGCTGCATATATATATATATATATATATGTGTGTGTGTGCGCGAGATTTTTGTATGTATATACAGCTCTGTAAAAAAGAAAAAAAAAAAAAAGTGGTAAGCTAAATGCCAAAAAGTACCCTCTCTCTCTGTCTCTCTGTGATTTGTGTCTCCATTTGAGGATAGGAGGAGGTGGAGTAGTGGTGGAAGTTACATACTTCAACACCATGTTTATATATTACCGACACCTGTCATCTCCTCCCCAGGCCACTTCCTAAGCTTTGGATTCTAGCTTGTGTGTGTTATATATTAATATATATACTCTCCTATAATCTGATATTTATACAACAAATTTCACCTTTTTACTTTTTATATTTTTAATCATTATATCCTAAGTTTTATTTTAACTTTTGTAACATTACATCATTAATTTTTATTTACTTGCCACAATTAGTCATCTATTTAAATTTTTATCATTTCACAATTTAATAAAGATGACTAACATGTAATTTTATTATTTGAGTCTTATGGCAACATGTAATTTCTCTTCCTCTCTTGTAAACTTTTTTAATTGAGTGATTAAATTATATATTGTTCATATTTATTAAATAATTAAATAACAAAGTTTTAAAATGAGACTAATTATGATAAACAAATGAAAATTAAAGATGTAATGTGACGAAATTAAAAAAATAATAATAAAACTAAATGTAATAATATTAATAACTAAAAATACAATTTGCTCAAAGTAAAATTTACTCATATTTAAAATAATTTTTCATTTCTTCTTTCAGTTTTCTTCCATAAAAAACCACGTATCTTTTTTTTTTCTTTCTTTCTTTTTTTCTCTTTCTCCAAACCCAAAGTTACGATGCTCAGCTCCTCAGAGTAAATGACTGATACTATTTTGTCACAAGTAATCTTTGTTTTGCGTACCACTATGAAATGAGTCATCAAATTATAGTAATTTAATTGAATGGAGGGAAATTGATAGACAAAATTAGAATTTATGAAAAACTATATTCTAAAAAATTCTACACAAACATCATCCAACAGCATATATGGGCAAAGATAATAAAATTATTGTCCTCACAAGTTTAGCTTACTGGTTCAGTAGGTAATATTTGGGAGAAAAAAATGATGTTTAAACTTCGACAGCGACAATATAGTGATTATGCCCAATTCAAAGTGGGCAGATCTCTCGCGAGCACCGATATGTAGTCATGTCTGTTGAATCATTAAATCACCGTGATTTGAGTTAGAATTCAACTTTTTGGGAGAAGAAAATTAAATGCTCTATGGGGTCAAAGTGTGGGGATCTTTGGAGTTGAAATTCAACCTTTTGGGAGAAGAAAGGAGAATAAAATTAGAAGGAAAAATATTACATGTAACAGATTATTCGATAAAAATGTAATTTGTCCATGCATAGAGTTATTATATTGGTATTACCGGTGTGGTGAGTAAAATTGTTATACTAATGGTATACATTTAAAATATTATGTTTTGTAATTAACATGTTATATATATATATGTAGTTAGCATGTTATGTATTTTAATTTATTTACAGATATATAATTGTTTATTGTAGATATAAGTACACATATAATCTGATGATTATTTTGAACTAAAATTTATAACTAATGTAAGGTAAACACTGCTTCATCATGCCATAATTTGGGTGTGAGTAGTACGTAGAATATTCCTTTTTCTCCGTCAGATAGACAGAGACAGATAGATTTAGCGTCGCAAGATCGAATGGCAAAGCTATTAGCTATACATGTCTTAATTCTTAAAAGAATCACACTATTATTATCTTTGATTTGATGAATCAGATCAAACTCCCCTCAGTTACGTTGGTGACATGGCTACCTACCTACCTTAGATGGTTGCGTCATCCTTCCATCGTCACCGTTCACGCAATCACGCAGCCCTGCATGCATATTCATTTTTATACAAATATATTAATATATGGTCACACTTGTGTGAGACGTGTCAGGTCGGGTTACACTCCGGCCCGCTGAGAGGATGTAAATCATGGTAACTGGTAAGGATGATCATGAACCGGTGATCGAGACTCGATCCCTGATCGTTCTTTCCAACTTTCACCTCTATGACCAGTTGAGCTGCCCATGCGGACATGCAAATGTCATACTTATTTGTACAAATGTCATATTTATATGCTCAAATTTAATATTAATCAGAAATAAAGTGTTGGTTAGAAAATACATGTCATCATAAGTGAGAGGGTTAATTGCATAGTTGGACTTAAGGTGTGTTTGGAACCTCATAAAATAATTTCTGGAAATCATTTTTCGAGTTTCAGTACGATGGTGGAAAAATTGAAGTCAACGGAAAATGATTTACGGTCAAAGGGAAAAAAGCTTGATTTTTATGAAAAATGATTTCTCCTTTTTTGGGGAAGTTATTTTTCGGATCCAACCGCTTCTTCTTTCTAGCTTCTTCCGAGAATGCTTCCTCAGCTTTCTTTCGTCATCCTTTGCTTTAATTTATATATACCTTAACTATTTTCGTCGGA